ACTTGAAAGTTTAAAAAAGAAATTCCTGAAAGACCACTACTATCCTTGTCACTTTTCTGGACTCACATGGAGTGATCGCGCCGTCCTCTTCCACCTAACAGCCTAGTGAACTGTTCGAACAGGCCACTGCTTCGTGGTACTTTAGCATCCGTAGGGCATGGGGCCGAAACAGCACTATGTTCCTTGGTAGAAAAAAAGCATTGTCGAACATCAAAGGAAATACCTCGACCCGGAGGCATATGTCATCAAAACTACAGAACTTTATATTATATTATGATGCTCACTGGCCTGCAGTGTGTTAAAAATACAACCAGCAGCACGAGTATCCGTTACAGTAGAACAACAACGAAACACTCATGATATCGCGCGCTCAACAATAGCGAGAACGAGCCAGCAGAAAAACTGGAATCAGGTAGAATGTACAAATTTTCAAGGACCGAATAAATTAATAAAACTTACAAGGCGTAGGACCGCATAGATACAGCACACATCAAATCAGCAAATCATCAAAGAAAGTTATTAAATCATCACGTTTATTCTTACTTCAACAATGTCATTTGCCGTTGCCTTATATGGTAGCCCCCTCATATGTACCACGTGACCAACGCCCCGTCCAGCACCGTTCATCGATCGACTGGAATACATGTAACCCCTTCCATAATTGTCTTGCCCACCTCTTACGTTCCCGTAATACGGCTCGTCAATTAGTGGGGCTAGGCTTCCGCGGCGTCCGACAGGTTCTACGCCCCTTACGTAATCCATCATCCGTCCGTAACCCCAACCTACAGATAATCACGATCAATTAAGGATCACATGCACATATCAAAAAAATTCTACCGAAGTCAGGTTCAAATAGCGGGGCATCCAATAAAGAATACGGTCCAGGACGCCCGCCGCCACTTCTCCCATAACTACCCAACATTCTTGGCCGCCTGGTTACCCGTTCCATTTCTTCCTCTATGCTTCGAAAAACCTCGATATATCTGTATTAAAAAGGGTTGGAAAACCGATCATTTCAAGATAAGTGAACAGCCGGCGAACAGTTTACTTGCTGACTCTAAAAATACATAAATAAAAGACTATACGTAAACTGTACGCCGACAGATTGACTCTATAAATCCAAAAAACTAAAAACGCTATAGGGTTACGCAAAACAACTCAACGCTTAAAAACTTAACAGCCCAAAATAGAAACCTGTAACCAATTTTCTCCATATGACGATCCAACGCTCTTTCCGCGGTGTCTTTATCAACAAAACGGACGTAAGCTTCCCCTGTGGCCCGTCCATTACCGTCGAATACAAATTCTAACCCATTCGGTGCGATTTCCATACCTACACGTACGCTAGAGTATACTCTTAACTGCCAAACTTTAGTTCACGCAAGTGAGTAACAAAAATATCATACGGCGATGCTTCAATTAATGGAAAACATATATCACACTCTTGTGCATACCTTTGAAAAAATTGACTATTTGCTCCTTAGTACAACCGTAGGGCAATCCGCGAATTCGCACGACGGTGCCTGCTTCGGACGCTTCCAGCGGCTTTCCGCTTCTTTTCAGTACATATTCCATCTCCGCTCTTTTAGAATGGAATACTGAATGAAACTTCAATCAGTTTGAAATAAAAACAGCATCAACTACTCTGCAGCACTAACAGATGTTTATTCACAGTATCGGAACGGATAAGGAAGACAGTTGACTGACGACAAAAATCCTCATGGCGTTCGCTGCGGTTTGTAGGTGCGGAGCCAGAAGGCCTTCCCTACCTTGAGTAAAGCTTGTGAGACACGAGCCGCAACATCGATACTTGTAAATCACCTGATTAACCACACCGTCTGCGTTGTGAATAAATATAGTCTTAGGCAGTTTACAGTAAAATTACACTAATAGAATGATGGCAAGAAAAACAACAGAGAACTGCATCAACAGTAAAAGCATATACGCCCACAAACTTTTCTGACTGTCCGAAAAGTGGCGTCAATCCTGCGATTAATATATTCGTGTCACTTTCGTTTTATACAATTGATTTTTAATAGATATACCTGACTAATAGATGATGCAATCCGTCGAAGTACACGAAATAAACAAACAGTCTGCTATCAGCTGCATTAGAACAGATATTGATCTCAATTTACTACTGGATACAGGATGTTCAGATAATATACAACTGTAATCGTGATGCCATATTCTATGGAATGGAATAAATCAATAACTGAACAGTGATTCACAAAGGATGAAACCAAATCAATTTTAAAAAATTTTTCCTTACGAAATATTAATAATTAACTTCTACCAAGGTTCAATAAAGGTACTCTTGTCTACTCGATCAGGCTCAAATCCTAGTGCTGTCTCCATTCTTATACTCAACACATTGGTTAGCGACTATGGAAACGTTTGGATGAAAAATCCAAAGCTACAAACGCTAGAAAAATATTGAAGTACCGCAAAAGTGACCTTCAAATCAGGTTTACAAAAAAACGTTTCGAAATTTACTGAATTAAAAAATATAAGACAAAATACCAGACAGAGTAGTTTACCAAAACAAGCTGAGTCTTAAATATCGTTGTCGAGAAACCAACTTAAGTCATCATAATTAGAATTCTCGTAGCGTGAAGGAGCTTAATTACTTTTAAATATGCATCCGAATTTATCGACATTACACTGCGAACCAAAAACGACAAAGAAGGATAATCATAAAAATGCCTCAACGGTCTTAGACAAATATAACATTAATGTTAAAGACTTTTAAGAACTTCCAGCGTTTCAACTAAACAACGCTTACAATCCTCAAGCTAAAAACACTCATCCTTCGTATGACCGGAGAATGACAAGTTTATTTGGGTAGCCTATGATATTTGGCTCAAACGTCGATCTTAGTAATTAATACAATCAGTCCTTTTAATTTTGGTGCACGTAAGTATTGAGAATCACTTGTGCTGAAGCCAGAGAACTGGAATGAGTTTGAGACAACGTTACTAACGCTACATTAACAACAATCACTTACTTTCATTCGTATTTATTAAATTCCGCAGCTGAATTTGACTAACGCAGAGTAAATTGCTTTAAGGTCTACCTTCTATGTAACGTTGGCCCATAGTTTCTCGGTGTTTCAGCAATGCCCTTTCCACGTCTTCTGCGCCACCAAGCTCTATATAGGTTTCGCCAGATGGGCGACCATCTCTTGAACAGGTGAAATGAATGCCCAAGATCTCATCGCAATCTAAACGAAGCAGATATTTCCAGAAAGCCATTAAATGGTAATTTTTCAGAAATAGTGAACATATATACT